GTTGTAGAAATTTGCCCATCATGGATCGGAGCTCATCGTCCACCGATGCATATGTGATAGTTAAATTTGGGCCGGAGTATCAATTCAGAACACCTGTTTGTAGGAAAACTTTAAATCCTACTTGGAATATTGATGCTTGGAGATTTGAAGTACCAAATAACGATTACTTACAAGAAAATGTGATACAATTTAAAGTTATTGATTATGATGTTGTAACACAAGATGATGTGATCGGAACAGTAATTGTAGATACTAATTTATTAGCGCTAAACCAAGTTACTCAGTGCAGTGGATGGCTCCCAATTTTTGATTCAATTAGAGGCGTTTGTGGCGAGCTGAATGTAAATATTAAGATTGATTTTATTCAAAATATCAATCCATATAGAGATAGCTCGCCTGAGGTGCAGTTTTTCTCTTGCCCAAGTATTTATCCTCTTATGGAATACACTCAATACTCTTTGAGGATAGGAGATCTCGTAGAAGAGCTTCTCATTGACGATGACCCTGAATATGACTCATGGAAAGACCTTATAAGAAGCAGTAGAACATCAAATGACGAGAGACAGTTATTATTATATGAGTTATCTGGAAGATTAAAAAGAAGAATTGGAAAAAAGGTTTTTGAAGCAGGAGACAATATTGTAATTGGATACGAAGAGTGTTTTGATTTGGAAGATGATAACATTATTGTACGAGGTTTAGGAACAAGATGTAAATTGAGCTCAATTAGATCATCTGTTTCTCCAGCACACAACACTGAAAAAGCGTTAATTCCTCTACAACTTGCATCAGAGCCCGCGATAACCTTATCCAGCATAACTCCTCCAATGAATATAATTCCTCTACTTGAGTTCCATGCATCTCCTACAGGAAACGCCCTTGCAAATATAGAATCTCCAACTGGAGCTGGTTTCAATACACCACAAAGTGATGTTAAATTACTTACAATCAAATCACTTGATTCTCAACATATCATATATTTAGCAGGAATTGTTCAAGCAAGATCTGTAAAATTAGTGACAACAGAGACAATGAAATTAAGTGACATGCAAAAGGAAAGAGATAGCTGGTGGAATGAGTTGCGTACTGAAATAAGAGAAAATGCAAAATCACTTGGATGCTCTCACGTGATTGGATATTCAGAAAGTTATGAAATATTTATTCGTGGATCTGTTTGTATTTTGTGCGCACAAGGTACAGCTGCTATTCTTAATCCACAATATGATATTTGTAACATTCGTAATCTGTCTGATGATCTTCATGAAGAGAATATCTCTGAGAAGGTGTCTGAAGAAAAGTATTGCTCCATTTTCCATCTTCCAAGAAATAGCCCTTTCTATAGAGCTGGTGCATCGAAATGCCCACTTCATGCAGATGGCTATGTTCCAAACTTATTCCTCTCCACATGTGAGATGCCTTCAATAGTTGAACAAAGAGTGCTTAATCAACCGAAACATTACATAGAGGCACGAATTTGTAGATCGAAGAAGAAAGAATTCGGAGAAAGCAATGCCACTGTTGTTAGCAACATTCTTCCTTTTGCAGTTCATGATTTGCACAAACAATTTATGAACAAGATGAAGCTTTGCAATTGCAATTCAGCATTTTGTGTGACCTATGGACTCACAATTAATGACAACTTTATTGTGCTGACTTGTAAGGGAACTGGAGTGTATCTTGATGCTCTTCCTAGAAATGCCAAGATGGACTTTATATTGCCTGACGAAAAAGATAACACAGAACAGTTAAAATTGCTTAAAGAGTATAGTGATTATTACGTAAGTATATTTTTAAGGGAACATTTGATTCATTGTCACGATCATAGTCTGCTGAACTGGATGCTTCTATTGTTGAAGAACCCCATTTGATACGAGAGCTTCAAGATGAGGAACGACAAGTCGACTCTCCAAGATTTAAAGACACTTTGGACAATAGCTCATATACTTCCTCTGATAACGAGGATGTTATTGGAGAAATGGGAAGTGCAGGATTTGCACTTGAATTAGAGGATGAACAGGATGAGGATTTCATAAATTCCATTCTCGAACCGTTATCACCGAATGGAATTCATTTTACAACACTCAAACACCAATCAGATATTGCCTCTAAACACATGTCTCATTTGCAATTTATTTTCCTAGAAAAGTCCTTCCCCTTTCCAAAACAACGCACAATGTGAAACAGCAGCAACAGTACATTGCATCACTATTCAGAGAATTATACATTACACTTTCCTTCAAATTATTACTGTTTGCTAATCAAGAGCTCAATCAACGTGTTTATGTGATGGGAATGTCAGAAAAGATTAGATTTAACAACGCCAATGATTTCACAATCACTTTGCAAGCAATGCCTGTGCTTGTTTCATCGAAGCCTAGTACGCTGAGTCATTTAGATCAACTTAAATCGAACTTGCCAAAATTATTTCCTTCATTTCCATATCCTCATGATATTGGTGGATCAAGTGATCAGCTTTCGAACAGTCCAAGAAAAGGTAATCAACAATCTCCTCTCAACAAAAATCTTCCAATTAGTACTGACGATATGTTGTTTAACATGGATATGGATCAAAAAGAGGATACTATTACTTCTTCAGAAGAATTGAAAAACATTAGGGATATTGTCATTGCTCAAGAGAATGATATTGACAAGGAGTGGCTTGAGGAAAGTTATGTTGTCACGTCACCAATGTATTTCATTCCTGGAGCAAAGATTGAAAAGTTAGTCGGCAAAATTAATCACCATCTTGTCAGAGAGTCTAACAATGTGATGGACTTTGCTTCTTTCCAACAAGAGTGCATTATGGAAGCAACATCAATTGTGCGAGCTCATACTAGAGCAATCGACTGTAATGCTCTACTCAATTATTGTGTCAAATTCCATGCAGTACTCGATAATCCGTCTAAAAAGCAAGCGTATATAATGCTCACAGTGTCAGGAGATGCTTGTAGGGTGTCATATTCCCCCAACTCCTCTGCAGGTATTCATAGATTGATAGAACTCTCATGCTCAAAATGAGAAGTAGAGGTTCATCAAGAAGTAACATATTTTCTTCTTTTAAGGTATACTTTCGTAACAATATCTAAGGAACTGCACTGATATCAATCCATCATGAATTAAATAGCAATTAAAACTTCAAAAGAGCCCTTTGTTTGTCACATCCACCAACACTGTTTGTTTTGCATTTCAACTCTCTACTGTGTTTATCCGACTGCAAACATCTAACAGTCAATCTTTTTAGTCATCATTACCACGACCACTGATCCTTCAGAGGAGAGCCTTCCACTTCCTTCCATATTCCATCCAACTTGGACCGAGTGGTTGACGGAATTAAAGTTCAATATCTCCCTTAATTGGAATAATAAACTTTTGCAAGTTCATGCGTCATTAAGCCGCTTCACGAAGGCCCTCCTCTAATAAACTTTAAAAAAATTACGATACGGATTCCAGTTGTTCTTCTTTTCTTCAATCAACAAAAACATTTCAAACTATTCATCTAGATGAAAAACTATTTCCGATATCCAAGCACGAGGCGGAAAGAATATCCTCCCACCATCACAACCGCTCGTTCAGCATATTGCAATGGAAAGATCCTTTGCACGATCGTCATCATTACACTCCTAGTCTTTGGTATTTTGAAGGATGTTCAAGGTCTCTCCCTACTAGGACATCAGGATGGACCACCACCAGGAAGTTATTGGAAATACTCTCAACCCAGAGCAATCACGACCTTAGTAAACACAGACAAGCCAAGAACAGTACTCAAATCATCCGTTCAATATCAACCGATGTATACTGGAATGAAGGTTACATTGGTGGGTAGTCAAAACAAATACTTTTACATTCGGGTGAATGATACCGACAAATCAGATCAGCACCTTGTGTTCGGTGCAAGTGTTGTCTCATCAACACGGCCAGATAATAGGTTCTCTCTAAGTATTGATGCTGATCCATGTGTTATTGGATCTTTTAGTTATCCCATTGATGTTGACCTTGATGGGGATTATCACCTTTCTGTCATCTTTCAAAACTGTAAAAACTACGACTATCCTTATCTCTATGTGACCGTGAGTTCTAATTTTCAGCCTCAAGACAAAGGAGTGGTTGAATTTGAGTTTGCACAAGAAAGGTACTCTGACAACACCATTATCATTACTGTTCCAAGTTTTTTGATACCGCTTACAGGTATTTCACTTGCTGGGATTGCTTTGATTTATGTCTTTATCAAAAAGAAGATGAGACAAACCATTAACAAAATTGTAGATGAATCGAACATTAAGAAGGAGGAGGAGGAAAAAAAGAAGCATGAAAGAGATGTAATTGCTAACGAAAATTCTCACAAGAAACCTTCACACATTATTCCTCAACCTCAACTTCCATCCACGATCCCACACCAAGTTATTGAGGTCAACCAAAAAGGTACTGCTCCTCAGGCTCGAGAGGTTACAACAACATATTCTAATGAGGGTATTGTAAATTATGTGCAACCGCCAGTCTACCAACAACAGCAAGTGATAGATCAACCACCGCTTCCTTACCCCGTTCAAAATGACGCATATGTCCCTCAACCAATATTTAATCCTATTGGAATGCAAGGTATGCAAGTTGACTATCCTCCCCCACCTGCATATCCAAATACTACTCATCAAGCAGGAATAATTACCAGTACAACCACGACAACTGTACTTGTTGGCCCTCCCATTGGTGACAACAATTTTGCAAACACCAAACCTCACGAGCCATAGTGATTGTAAAAACCGAACTAAATTATTGTACAAAATGTATCATAGTAATGCATGCCATTTTGTTTCAAAATCAAGAGGAGTAAGATGGTCTGGTTATTTAAAATTGTTTGTTTTTTGTATGTTTGTTTTCACTTGTGAACTTGTTTATCTCTTATAACTCGATCCTCTCTAATTTGATCACAATGTCATCTGCTGGTTTAAGTGTAATTCCTGCAACCTCTCTAACATCCCTTTGATTTTGGCATTGGAAACGAAAATTCCTAACCATTCTACAAATCACATCCAAAATTTCCTAACCAATTAAACTTCAATACATAACATGTTTGGTTGTAAAACTTACCATTTCTGCAAACTTCATTCCAATACATGTTCTTGAGCCTATACTGAATGGAATGAAAACATATCTATTCTGCTTCAGCAGATCTTTGATTTCTGGTCGTTCAAATCTTTCTGGACAGAATTGCAGAGTATCTTCACCCCAAATTTCTTTGTCCATTTGTGATACGCAAAACTTCATTTCTACTGTCACACCCTTTGGTACGGTTTTTCCAGCAATTTCTACTGGTTTTAAAGTGTATCTGGTGTTTGTATGAACAGGGCCTTTCAGCCTTAGAGTCTCATTAAGAACATTTCTCGCATAAATGAGCTTTTCCTTGTTTTGATAGAGATCAAAGTCAATTCCTTCAAGTGGCACCTCTCGAATAACTTCTTCTCTTAGTTTTTGTTGAACATGTGCATGACTAGAAACAAAGTAGAACATCCATATCAATGTTTGTTGGCTTGTTTCATCTCCTGCAAGCATAAATGCATGAGAGTTAGCAATTACTTCATCCT